TTTTGGTTGCTCGTTAATAGTTAAAGACACATGGAGATTTCCGATTACGGAATCTGTATAAGATACAATAATTATATATAACATGCATGCATATTTATTGCATTCCATGCCAACTATGCACCCTTAAGATAGCTGATGGAAAAGTTTTATTTTCAAATATTACATGTATGTGTATTCTATTCTCAATATAAAACCACAAGAGTAGAGAAAGCAATGACATGCAGTGGAAAACTGGTTTCACGCGTATTTAAAGTCAAACACAAGTGAAACAGCTGCCGCAGCACAAGTGATCATACTGGCAACAATGAAAACATAAGAGAAATGTAGGTGTTCGGACAAAGCTATATCCCCTAAGGATAACATATCCTCCATCTTTGATCCTCCAAAGGTCAATATTGTGATGCATATGAAGATAGCTGTAAGAGAAAAAAATATATAAGTTGTAAGACATCATATCATATAGTGTATTTTCAGTTACTTACACATATGATAACACAATTTTCATATTATTTAAATGTTCAAGCTTTCGGGGTCGTTCTTTTTTCATCTTAAGAATGTATACTGAATGGCTCCTACTAATAGTCAATATATATTTAACATATGATGAAAACATGCTAAATATATGCTGTTCGTTTATATTGTAAACATATTGAGCACATGCATCATCCTTATATCTAACACAAGAACATTTCCTCCATTTAAATATGTACATAAATTAACTAGCTTTTTTTATGCTTAGATTAGCATTATTTTTCCCTTTGTAAACAGAAACCACAATGTCAGATCAAATGTGGATTACAACATAAACGCAGACCTAGATTAATCCAAGGTTTGTCTTCATATATAAGGAAAAGACATCTTATGTCTGAAAAAATTTCACATTTTAAAACGTCATTATGGGGGGAGAGTCATTATTTTGTCAGTTTAATTTGTTTGTGTTCCCGTGTTTGTTGTAATATACATGTATAAGAAATATAATTTGACAAATATATATTTTCATGAAAATTGCACGAGTCGCGTGGTTTTAATAATTACCAAACAATCATTTTCTTTGCTTTTGTAATTTGACACTGATTTCAACTTTTGATAATTAAACATTATCCATTTTTTATAATGATTGAAAGTTATGACTTCGATTTACATTTTATTTAAAAGTCTGAATTCTTCACTTTCTGATAAGTGATTTTATCGACCACTTTTCAAAACTTTAATACAGCGCTAAATCTAACATAGTATAGGTTATTGAATATCTTTACTTTTAAGTAGAAGCAACACCGTAAAAATCGGTGAACAAATATGTTTCATTGATTGGCTTTTTCAATTCTATTTATAAATTTTACGTCTTATCCTAAATAAATGCTAAGCATAGGTAGATGTCTACTTTACGCTACAGAAAATTGTTCACTCAATGTATTTGTATATTTTTCTCCTTGCCCATTTATTTCTATTTATTCAATTCTTAATACTTAAAGGATCTTTAAAGTTTTGTTTGTTTGTTTATTGTTTAACGTCCCTTGCGAGAATTTTTCACTCATATGGAAACGCCACCATTTGCCGGTGGAGAGCTGCAAATTTTGACATATACTTTGCACTCGGGGCCATTGAGCAGTGAGGGATCTTTTTTGTGCCAGCACCTACTGCGACATAGGACTTCAGTTTATATGGTCTCGTGAGAAGGACCGGTCTCCATGTCCCACAGTGTGATTCGAACCCGCGACATAAAGATCAACTCCCTACTACGCGACGCTAGAGCGAACGCTCTTGAACCATGCGCCACGCGGGCGACGATCTTTTAAGTAAACTAATGTATAATATATATTAATTAAGTAAGGACTGTAATTGCTAATGGATTCTCTCCTCTCATATGCGGAGAAGTCGCTGGTTTCGAAGTTAAATTAAATGAAATATGTTTAATAATAACCCTTGTATGAATATTTATCAATTTTATAAGCAAAGATAATCACTAAACAATCTATGAACTAGGGTATATTCCATTACACTAGATAAACAATAATTAGAATATCAGAGTATTTGCTAAATTAAAAGTAGATCTTTGCAACAGGGGAATTTGAAATAAATTGAAAATGTTAAAACTTACCGGCAATAACTGTCAAGCAAATGCAGCTCAAAAGAATTATCTTGTTTCGCTTCCTCAGAATAAAAATATGAATGAATAAAAGTAATGAGACGATAAGGAGGCATCCGAAACCTATGGATCCTGTTCCCTGAATTATACGAAACCAGTCTGAAATGAAATCAATTAAAGAATTTATTTTCATTAGATTGTGAACAATTTTACTTGATAATTTTATCAAAAGAAATGGAAAAATTTTCCCTTATCATTTTTGATTATTTATGATAGAAAAAGCTTATGAAGTAAAAAGCATTTACCTTTTGCATTTTGTAAATCTTCACAAACCGTTCCATCTGTTGATTTCTTACACAACCGCCAAAGTCCAAAAATATAGGTCACAGAGCTTGATGACGTAGCCTTGACCCAGTAAGGGGTCGCAAATCCAATGAGATTCAAGGAGAAAGCAATGAAATCGAGGCCGAATCCCAAAACCAGAAACCCCGAAGAATCCCCAAAGATCTTGTATATATTGTAATTATTTGAATTGTGTCCTTTCATTCCCGATGTCTCAGTAATTATTCTTTTTGTTTAAATCATTCACAAGATTTAACGCTGAAAGAGATGTCTTTTGTTATATCATTAAATTACAACTAAATCCTTGGAATATATCTTGCATACAAAATTTCAACTTTATGGAAAACAATTAGAATTACTTGTATTTTTTATGTTTACACAGTAATTTCATCACACGTATCTCCGTCCACTCGTTTTCGATGGTAAAGTAAGTCAAAGAATCATAGGAGTGAGCCATTCAATTCAATGTCACCATGACATCGCTTCTAACATTTTTATCACCGAAGAAAAGACATAAAAAATGAACAAGGATATGCCCTATTTGAAATATGAACCAAATCAATAAAATATAAATGAAAATGAGAGACACTAATATCCATGCACTTTTAGGAGTCTATGGAAGTTGGTCAAGCATCAGAGTGTAACCGATCTTGACAGAAATGTATAACCCTAATAATCGAACGTGCCATTAAAACGGTTTTATTATTAGCTAATTGGTGATTTGTCTACATAAGGAAACTGAGTTAAAAAAAACTGGAGTTCAAAAAAGCAGAAATTAAAGATAGTGGTAAAAAAAAAAAGAATTATTACGTTATGTGGGAAAGGTGCCACTTTCAATTTATAAGTAAGAAATCCATTGTTCTCGTCTGTAAGAATATAAATACTACTGGTAATTTATATATATTAAAAAGTACTGCTTTAACGGGAAAACCATTTAATTTCTATAGCTCATTTTGATTTGACTAAAATTATCGGTATCTTAATGATTTATTTAACAATTCCAATGATCACCGAGTAATCATAATTACATGTAGAATGACGTATTGTAAATATAGCTGTGATTTATTTTTGGACATTGTTATTAAAGATATCTTATGAAGGGAGAGATTCATTTTTAGATATCTCTATAATACACCTGTGAATAATGCAAAATTATCCTGAAAAGGATTTGTACCATGTGCATAAAATTTCGTGTTGCATCTATTGGATGTACAAACATCATACCGGTAGTTCACTTCATATTACAAAAACTTCCATCAAAATGTTTGAAACTTTATTGTTTTTTCGATCTTTCTTGTTATGTCGTTTTTCACATTTTTAAGAGAAGGGTGATTATATTAAAGGGTACCATTGCTAAGTACTTCCATTTGATTTGTTTTTGTTTACTTACTTCCCTTTCGAGAATTTTTTACTCATATTGAGACGCCACCACTTGCCGGTGGAGGGCTGAAAATTTTAGACCTATATTGGGCTTTCGGGTCCATTGAGCAGTGAGGAATCTTTTTCATGCCAGTGCCCACTGCGACCCAGGACCTCAATTTATACGGTCTCATCCGAAGAACCGGTCTCCACGTCCCACAGTGGGATTCGAACCCACGATGTAAGGATCAAGTCTTTACTCCGCGACTCTAGAGCAAACACTCTAACTACTGCGACACGCGGGCGAGTACTTTCATTTGAAAAGATATAGAAAACTCATAAATAGTACTACAAGAAGGGCTCAAAAACAACATTTTATTTCAAAGCAATACAAATTAAATACTTCAGGGAAAATGAAATACATTTACATTATGATAAATCAATAGGAGATTTCAATATTGTTAAGAGGTCTGAGATTCCGAGTACGAATTCTCTCAGTCTTCCCACTACCACCGATATTTTTACACGGAACATGGCTGGCCACCTATGTTCAGACATCTTTTGCCTTGGTTTAAAAAAATGCTAAAAATACCTTTTAAACCCGATCAATTTTTTCTGAAAATTTTCTTTAAAATTTTTTTCGATATCCTATGCAAAGATTCCTCTAGTATTTGAACACAATCAATAGATGCAGTGCCAATTCTAAGACAGTCCTTTAAAGATTTGTTTTGATCTGTTGTTCTGTAAACAAGATTTTTTTTCATTTAATTTGTTCATTTGAATATATTCATTTTTTTAACTAAAACACATCGACAGCATATTTTCTCGAAAATTGTAAGCATATGGTTTATAATGATAATCTGTATTTGTCATCAATTGCTATTCATGCTGTATACAAATGATTTGTTTTCAAAAAAGCATGTTTTTTAAGGTAAATGTGTTTAACTTTTGATTAAAACATTTCAAGAAAAATCTGAATTATTGCTAGAACGTTTACTTATGTTCTTTTTGAAAAACACATATTAAAGCATCATTCAAATTATTATTATTATTATTGCAAAGTTCGGTTGCCTTTCCAGATGATACTTATTAAGAACTTTAACCAAGGCAGAAAAATAAAATCTCATGGAAATGAGAACCTAAACAAGATACAAATAACACTGTTTATCATTAACACTCTTTGTCTATTTTTTTTTAATAAAAAGTCGATATATTGTTATTTACTGATCATACATGATCAATTCATTTCTTAGAAACTCTTTTATAAACTCGTTTGCTGACAACCAAAGATGACAGTAGAATGAACTCCATTAGTTCCGTTAGAGTCAGCAGACTAGCGCCGAGAAATATGCCCATTTGACCACCCAAAATACCTGAAAACGTATGAAAAGAATTAGAAAGATATGTTTATATGCACAAAATATCTACATAAGAGAAGTAACAATGGATGGATGGTTGAAGAATGATAGATTCTACATCATTTATCTGTAAGCAATTCTTTTTCTTAATAATATATATGATTTTATGTCGTAGAGCTACTCTTAGGCAAGATTGGTTCCTTGTTTTAACCCTTACACAAACATTCAATTGATGAATCAAATATCGATTTATTATCGACTCAATTTTTTTACTGCAATATCAAAATCGATGAAAAATGATATACTACATTAAATTTATTATTTTACATCATAAACATATCAAAAGCAATCTCTCCTTTGATTTTTTTTATTCCCGAGCTTAAAAGTAGTAACAGCAGTTGCCTATTGGTTTTTGACATTTAAGACCAGAGTAAAATCCAGGACTTCAATTCAGAAAGCAAACTCCCTAATGACCAAACCACCCAGACATTTTATTGTTGTAGTGTAATCCATAATAGAATAGTTTACATACCCACGATATCTCCAAAGCTGTATTCAGGTACCTGTTCAACTTTCAAGTATCCCAGTGACTCAAAGTAAACTGCTAGTTCCATAAAGGTGTCCCTATGAATTCAAGTTTATGAAAGGTGAACGGAAATCTACTATATGTCAGCGGTTTCTGACCATCAGTAAATATCAGACTTAATAAATTATCAAAATTTACCAGACTTCAGAGTTTAATTAGGAGTATGCTTTACTAGAAAATCAGACTTAACTAGATATTTAGATCATACTAGATACAGACCGTTATACATTGTAAATGTAAGAATTTCATTAATATTAAAAATTGCAAAAAAATAATTAGCTTTATTAGTATATCAAACCTTATTTGTTATCAGACTTTAAATATATCTGTATATTACACAACCACTCTTCAAAATAAATTAGAAGATTTATTTTTTTCTTCTATATTTACTAGTTTCTGCATTGTATTTCTTTTTTTTTAAGAAGACCATTCCAAAACAAAATACTTCCACAGTGTCTATACGTAAATTTTAAGAATTGTTCAAAACATGTTATTAGAATTATGCACATACCGAAAGTTAGTAAATCCCATTTGGGAAAGCACGAGCTGGTAATTCATGGCGGGAAAATATCCGGTTGATAATCGTGCGTAGTATTCGCTGTATTCACATTCTATGGGGCATGTGCAAAGATGTTGGGCGGTGCTATTTTTGTCAAATTTCTCTGGCAAGACAAAACAATACCAAGCTATTTTATCCCTTCGATAAAGAGTTCATTTAATAGCAAGTAACAATTTATCCATTCTGTTAAAAAAGTTTTTTTATAAACAATTAAAATTAAAACGCCCTTCATTATTTGAATATGTTGTAGTTCTTGATACAGATAAAAAGACTTTTGGTTGAAGACAAATCTTTTCTCATACCACTTTCAACATCGTAGCACGTTGACATTTGGGCAAGCGAACATATGGTTTCGTTTGCTGAAAAGACAAGCATTTAAGAAGTATTACTTCCTAAACACAAATACAGATAATTTTGCTAAGTTGTTGAATAAAGACCAAGCTTGGTGATGATTAGAGTGAAACATATTTTTATGAATAATCAAAATGAGGATTTCTAATAAAGTGCACATTAAATCACAGAGAAAGATTTTATTTTTTTTCCAATTTATTATCAGATGAACCTGATATTTCAAGTAACATCAAATCATTTTCAAAACTTGAGGATTACAGCCATCTCACTAACAAGTAATAGAAATGTATTAGTGTGTTTTCTTTGAGTATGTTCCCACAATATACATGATTAATATCTTTCTCTTTTTTCAAATGGAACAGGTTGAAATCTTTACATAAATAACAGATGTTCAATAATCAATGCATCCAATAAGTGTATGCTTTCCTATATTATACAAATCCTTTGTCTATCTGAGGATATTTACAGCACTTGATATTTTCTTTTTTAAAGCGTTGGATAATACGAAATGCATTTATAGAAATTGTCTGCTGTACCTCACGGTAAAAATTAACAAACCAAATGCATATACACAGACACACACATTCGCGCAAAGCATGCAGATACACGAAAACTACACATACACACCACACCTAAGCAAATTCTAACATATAAAAATAGAGTTGTTTGAATTAAACAATTTCTATACGTTCAATACCTTTATCAAATGGCGACCTGCATCCACATAATTTGATCACGTGGTTTTGTTTACACTCCATCATGCACGCACTTTTGCTGTATACGTCATAGAGCGTCAGTGGATTTGTAAAACCTGTGGATTTTGTGTCCAGGCAGAACTGGTCTCCGTTTATCTTATATGGACTGGGCAAATAGTGATACTGGAAAAACCAAAGAAAAAAATATACAGAATCTTTCATCACAATTAAATGTTTTATTGACGAAAAAATTAAATGATTATTGACGAAGAAACCGGAAATATATGAAACTAATATACATTTACACGTTCGCTGATTTTATCCTCATGTAAGCTAACATACATATCATACAACATTAAATGAGGTAGATACCTAAATTCATATTTTTCAATGAATGGGGATTAATACCTGTTTAAATAACAATGACAAGCAGTATCATCATAGACAATGAACCCCATTTATAATGGGGGTTTAAACTACTTCTTTAAAAGTTTGCGTCATTCTATGAATGGAAGCTATGTCCTTTTTTGTGTTGAAATTGACATGATTTTTATCTCGAAATGTATACTGAGAATTAAAAAATGTATTTTTTCTTAACAAACGGCGGTGTTTTTGATCATTACAAAAATTTAAAACATAAGAAAAATGGTTATAACGTGTATGATAATGTATGTTACAAGCTCATCAGCCCTGGCTACAGAAGAGGAAAAAAAAACCTTAGTTGGAATTTAAACTGAATATTGTTTATAGAAGTAGATTTGGCAGTGAATAGATTTTTGAAATAAAAAATCGTAGTCCTTCAGAAGATTTCACGTATTAATTATCACGTCATTATTCAGGGTCTTGCAATGATAAATATTTTATAAAAATCTTCTCATACATGAAGCAAGTTGTTAACTTCAAGTACATAATAAAGATTTCTTTTATTATTGACCAGATCATTTCAATTTCGCTTCACTCCTTGAAGAGTGATCTCTCTTCTAACTGTTTAAGTAGAAACAGTTTAGTCTGCTGAGACTTACTTTCCTAAGCAAGATTCTTCTGTATTCGATTTAATCTCTGTTAGAAGTTCGCTGTTATTTAATTTTGTCGAATAAACTTTTGACAAAATAACGGTTAGCACTACGTTATAATTCTTTTTGTTTCAGAAATATGTTATGTTTGTAGTTCTTTATTTCAGAGAATTTCAAATGTGCATTGTATCAGATTCTGTCTGTACTGAAAAAGTCGTTGTCAGTTGATTCCTTATGTTTTTGTGTAGATAAGACTAACCTCTGTTTTATGAATGGACGCAAAGGTAGAGAAGCCAGGGGAGATCATGAATCCTTTGTCAACAACATCCGGCTCTTCATTCTGGTCATGGATCACAACCTAAATATAAGAAAGATGTTAAAATGCATATTTTGTGTGTCAACCAAATAATTCTTCCTCCAACCGTGGGTATTTTAAACGCTTGCGTAGACTTATATTTCCGTTTGTTTCTAGAACAGTGTGGTCGTCTGGAAGTAAAAGACAACTTCATATTAGTTATAGTATGGTTGAATAATTCCTAGCTTTCTGAGTAGCTAAAATCAAACATTCTATTTGATTGGATAGAAAATTATGTCGTATAACCTGTGTTCCCTACGTCACAATATAACATACGTTCAACACTTAACAATCCGCCTGACGTCACAAATACATATTTATATAATTTTTAGTCATTTTTGAAGGAAATTATCTTATTAAGTACATCTGATGATAGAAAATTAAATTATAAGAAATGATAAGGAATAATTAAATAGATACCCAAGTTTTACTCGTAAAACTTGGGTTGGAACAGGTCACGGTTTATATAGCATAAACTGACCGAACCCTGGTCATACAGTGTATCTTGTAGTTTTTTTTTTTTTTTTTTTTTTTTTTTTTTTAATTTATTCCTTAATTGTACTTCTCAGAAACCTCAGTCATCATTTTGCCCTAAAAGCGTATATGAAACGGTTTCAAATGATTATACAGACATGAAATATCAATGCAATAACTATCGATACTATTAAGGTCAGCCGTGCATTAACCTGTATGAATAGTATTGGTACACAAGAAGTGTTTGAAAGATGAAACTTCAAGAACAGTCTTTAATTCATTTAAATTTGCATTTTGTTTTATCTTTTTTATTCGGATATATTCAAATGTTTGCCTTTGTAAAAAAAAAAATACACAATCACCCATGACTAAGTATCATCTTCTTCTTCAAAGGGAAAGAGACGTACATATTGATTTACTTAGTGTTTAAATTAATGAATCTAGTGATTTTTAATTGAACATTTAAGTACTTAATAGCGATTCTCTGTAACCACTTAAACTTCTTTGCCACGCAAGGTCACCGATTTTGATGAAACTTTGCCCATTATTACAACTTGACACCAGAAACATATATCAAACAAAATTTCGTTGCTATGTGTCTTGGTTGCCATGGTAACAGCCAGAAAAGTTGAAAAAATTGAGATTTTCAGCTACTTTGAATCTTTATTAAGCCTTAATAAAGACTAAGAAAAACAAACAAACCATTCTCACAAAAACATGACACCTTGTTGCCACTTATACTATAAAGAAACTATTTAGAATTTATCTCTAAGTAAGTGGTAACCATGGGTACATTTGGAATACATTTTAGATGCTGAAAAATGCTGAAAAACGCTTAATATACACAAATGATAGATGTTACATGATCAAACTCAATCAACAACTTAAAAAAACAATAAAAAATACTTGACCTTAAGTAATTAGGTATTGGCAGTATTATTCTAAAAATAACTGTCATTGTTGCCATGGTAACACAGTGTTACCAGGCAAAATCTGTTGCTATGATTGGGTTAATGCTATTATCTTGAGGAAAAACAATAAAAATCATGACTGGCACATATACATCCTTAGGACCTCGCAACACCAGCAACATAAGAAAAATTGGAATTAATTGTTTTTCTGCAGTGTAACCATGGAAACAACGTACTAGTTGTTTAAAGTGATATATTTTTTGCTGCTTTAGGAATTTACTTACCTTTTAATCAAGAAACATATTATTTGACTAACCTTGAATAGTACTTATCTGGTAGAACTAAAGTTGAATATCATATATTGATAAAGTTTGTTGAAAAATACAACACTGTTGCCATGGTTACCAAGAAGTGAAAATGTTCAATTTTGTTAATTTCATATCAATACTAAACCCTATGTGCCAGCTTTTTGCATCCAGTTAGAGATTGGGTGGTAGTCAAAATTGAAAGTCAGGTTAGTTATTCATAAATATCAATCATAAAAGTTTTGGGAATCTACATACAAGGGTACGTATCCAAGGAAACATAATATTTTTCACATTTCTAAGCATATTTTTTCGGCTAATTTCCATAGCAACGCTCTATTTTAAGAATTAAATTTGAAATTTTTGAAATGTGAAAATTAGGGTCACACCAACGCCTTTAAAAATTGATCATCAGTTATTTAGAAATATGTTTTTTAAAAAGATAGGATAAGTTTGAAACACTAAAAGAACAAATTAAAAATCCCTTCGTGGTATTAAAACCATGGCAACCATTGCCAACCCATAAGAAATATCATATTTCGTCCTTGGCATATGTTTCAAGGATCTTTTGTCTATTATTTGCTTGCTTTTCAACCTATAATTGTTTTTATTCTTATGTGTATGACTTTTTAAAATTAAATGAACAAAATTATTACTTTTGAATACTTTGTTTCCATAGTAACGTATATAATAGTTGGTTTACCAAACATGTTTATCAAATATTTAAGACACCAGACCTTCAACTTTCAGAAACAGTCATTACCACTTGTTTGCTTTGCCGCAAACGTTAATTGTGGGACTCTGAACATGAAAAATGCCATTTTTCAAACTTTAGGACGTGTTGCTATGGAAACCATGACACGTAGCAACCAATTTTTGCATGATTTGAGTTTAAGGTATCAAAGACTTTTATCATAGAGAGTTTGGAGAAATTCTGAGGCTATGCGTGCCACAGCTCCTATATAAAATTTCAAGTCATTACAGAGAATGGCTCTTAAGATGGAAATGCCCTACAAGAAAAATAAATACCATTATTATTCATACATGTAGGACATCAAGTCTTTATTGATAATTTGAGCTATTCTGTTGATAAATGTTATTATAAGCAATTAATATCCTAGTTCGTTGTGACAATAGACGGCGATACTGCAATTATGTCAATATTTTATATATTATTCAGGTCAGGAGCGTGTTAATGAAAGTTGACTATACATTTATTAATAATTAGTGTCAGAGCAGAACTGATCGATACCACTTCTATTTATAGACTAACTTCATATATGTCTTCTTCTGTACCTTTAAAAAAGGGAAGAAATAAAACATATTAATGAATAAAAGATTAAGAAATAAATCATTTTGAAATCAGATTGTCTTTCCACATAAATGATTATGTATGATTCCAAAATACCAACATCACTAGTCTTTCAAAAATTCCATACTTATGCTTTCTGGTATTTGTTAATAAATAGGGTTAAATTTTGACTGAATACGGAACATAGAACGATAATATAATACAAACGTTCTCTCTCTAGTTTTGGTATGTTTTTTTTTTTTTTTTTTTTTTTTTTTTTTTTTTTGCATCTTTTTTTTCTTGTTTGTTTTTGTTTATATGTGTTTTTGTTTGTTTGTGTTTTGTTTGTTTGTTTGTTTCTTCATATGCAGACGAATGGTATTTTATTATTTGAAGAAGTGTGGTATCTATTTATAACAAATCAAGTTATATTGAAGTCTTGTATCAGAGTTTTCATCAGTACAATATTAAGGCTATTGATGTTAATATTTGCATAATTATCCTTTAAAGTTATCCCATTGATGTTGTGCGGACAAACACAAAACCCGATAATAGGTTTAACAGGTGAATATCCTCGTTAATCTTATTTATTAACTCATCCAATTCATTCTACCAATAAAACTCAAAGACTGTACCGGAAGACTTTTAATTGGACATTTTTAGTTTCTGAAAAAATATTATTAGTTAATGCGGCAATGGTTATTTTTTCTGAAGGTCTTCCAAATGATTAACTGTAGATAATCAAAAATTCTTTTATATCATTGTTAGGCTGGACAGTTGAATACATTTCTATAAGTTGTTTATCACAGGATATTGGAAATTTATTATAAAGGGGAAACTATTATATTAAACAGGACGTAGTTTCTGTTTATTTAAACTTCAGAAACTCTATTTCTCTGTATTCTGTTTGTGTAAAGGAAACTGACATATTAATATTCCGGGAATTGTGTTTACAACTATAAACATTAAATCCCTTTAACTGTTGTCACATTAAAGGTGAAAATGTTGTGATTGAGAAATGGATATGTATATTTACTACAAGGCATGATATTATTATCGATTATCCAAGCAAAAATGTTTTCTTGGTGAGTTGTATAGACTTTGGACAGATTCTACATAAAAGCAAGCTTAAAGAGAATTAAATGTTCAGTGGATCATTTCAGCTATCATTAGTGACATTAACATTAGCATAAAAAAAATATTACTTCTCCCTACTACTTTTGTCAAGCTGGACACGCCATTTCTGGCGACGTGAAAATAGTTAATAATGAGGATCTTACATCACTTATATGAAAAGGTCCAAAATTTAGGTTACCCCAATCTATCAACCAGCGACAAAATTTCTTTAATACAAATAAAAATCATCTATTCTTCTGTTTTAAAATATTAAAAATAGATGCAATAAAAATAAATATGATGCATGATCAATATGTACTAATCCAAGCTGACAAAGCGGGTAACAGCATAGACTTTGATCGCAAGGCTTAACATTTGAATTGTATTTTAGAGGAACTTGGATTTAATTCAAATGGTAGTCCAACTTATACGAATAGTTCCCTTTCCAAGGGAGGAATTCTTCAAAATGATGTGTCATTTTTAAATATTTTAATATGTCCAACACTCAAACTGAATTTGAATTACCGTATCTATACTGGATTCCAAACCTACAAAAAATTCTTTACAAACAAATATATATAGCGGGTTCTAGGAATTGATCTACCAGGCCTCTTTCTTTACTCTTCATGAAAATATTTACATCAGTAAAGGAGATACTTCAGGAAAACGTTAAAACAACATATTCCAGAAGTGGTGTTTATCGGTAGTTATTGATGGTTGTATTTAAGCATGCACAGAAAAGAATCTGAGTGCAAGAATTTAAATGAAAACAGCTAACGAATTATGCAATTTCATTCTGGTGGGAAATATTTTTAAAAATGATCATTTTAAATAAACACATTATATATAGGAATTTTACCTTAATTCCTGCCGCCATGATATCGTTGAAGACAAAGTTGTGTTGATCAACCTTAAGATACAACTGCAAACCAGAAGAGCTTCCAGTTCGTGACGTCACAATGTGGTTATTTTCTTCAACATACTCCCTACTATTAAATGTGTAACAAACTCCTAGTTTTGTCACAATTGGTTTCATGACTTCCTGGCACTCTTTTTGCTCTCCCTCGAAGAAGCAGTAAAGAAATAAATCTTCTACCTTGTTCGATGTTTCATTTACCCATGATGCATTTCTTGGAAGATGGTAGTCCGAATATTCTGATTGGCTCAAATTTAATCTCGGAAAAAAATCACCAATCACACTCTCAGTTAGAAGAAAGTATTCAAGATTGAGGATCTTAGGAAGAGCTTCTCTCTTTAATGATGAAGCGCTGCACAGAGTAACGGCCGGAAATTTTACACTGCTCTGGGTCTGCACATGCGTGTTGCTGATGGTGGGATACTTGAAGTAGTTGGTAAATTGCTGATACGTTGTGTACACCAGAAATGACCCCATAGCAAGCAATGCAATGGCCCAAATAGCACTGTTGAGAAAATCACATTTCTTGTAAAGTTAATGTTGTATATACATGTATAGTAAAACTCTTCTTGTGTGAAATCGAATATTGTAAATTACGGATACATTGAAGTTTTCATAGATCCCCAGATATATACCTTTCATTGAATTCCATATACAGAAATAAAAAATGCGGATATAGTGAAAGTAATTAACAGGTCCAAATGACTTCGTTTTAACCAAGTTTTACTATAATCACAATATATTCACATTCCTCTTTTAACCGCCGATATATGGCTGAAATATTGACGACTCGGCGTTAAACAATATCATTCAATCCATCAACATTCCTCTTTAAATTCCTTAAAATATGTGAAATTAAATTTAGCTCTTCAGACTTTCAAAAAGTTTTGAAAAGTTGAAAGATCAAGTCTAGTGGCTTTTCCAAATGATATTATTTCAACATCTTTCAAATATACAGCATAATACAAGTGTGCTTTTGATTTTTAAAGTATTGAAAAGAAAATCCATCATTCTAAAAATATCAGAAAACATGTACAAATATGACATATTTTTACAAGCGAAAATGTCCTACAGTATTATTTTATATGCGCACTTTCTAAATTAACAAGAGTCCCATGGGCCACATCGCTCACCTGAGCACTTTGGCTAGGGAAAAGAAGAAATCAGTTCAGTATTGAAAAGTTTAAATATAAATGTGGTTCCAATATTTAATCTTCTATTGAGGCCTTGCCATAACTCCAGAGACATGAATGGAACACATTTGAAACTTCTCTACATGAGGATGCTTATAAATTAATAAGACTGACTTTGATGTTCTTGAGAAAATTTTTTTTCATTGATATATCCATTATATTCTTTTTTATAACTTTGAAAACTTTGGTCCACTGTTGTGGCCAAAGCCAACCCCAGGGGTCATGATTTGAATAAACCTGAATCTAACCTACCTGAGGATACTTCCACATTAATATGACTAATCATGACTTTGCTGTTGCTTGAGAAGACAATTTTTCAAGATTTTTTTTACCTGAGGATGCTTCCATGTCAATATGACTACAGAAGACTTTGCTGTCCTTGAGAAGAAGGTTTTTCAAGATTTTTTTCCTTTATATTCCAATGAAAAACTTTAATCGCCTATTGTGACCCCACCCAATCCACAGGGGTCATAATTTGAACAAACCTGAATTTACACTACCTGAGGATGCTTCCATAATAATATGACTAATCACGACTTTCCTGTTCTTGAGAAAAAAAATTTTCAAGTTTTTTCCCCTATATATTCCTATATAAAAGTTTGATCCCATTGTGGCCTCACCCTTCCCCGGGGTTCATGATTTGAACTAAGCTAAATCCACAATACATGAGGATGCTTCAATATTAAAACGACACAACAAGATTTTGCTATTCTTAAGAAGAAAATTTTAGAGATTTTTTCCTATGTATTCCTATGTAAAACTTTGATCCCCCATTGTGGCCCCACCTACCCCGGGAGTCATGATTTGAACAAACTTGAATCTACACTACCTGAGGATGTCTCCATATAAATATGACTAATCATGACTTTGCTGTTCTTGGGAGGAAGATTCTCAAAGATTTTTCCTCTGTATTCCTATGTAAAAACTTTGATCCCCAAATGTGGCCCCACCTTACCCCCGGGGGTCATGATTTGAAGAAATTTGAATTAGCACTACATAAAAAATGTTTCACATAAGTTTCAACTTTTTTGGCCCAGTGGTTCTTGAGAAGATTTTTTAAAGATATCACCAAATTTTTCACTATTTCTAAATAATCTCCCCTAGGTAGATGGAGTGGCCCTTCATTTGAACAAACGTGAATACCCGTTACCCAAAGATACTTTGTGCCAAGTTTGGTTGAAATTAGTTCAGTGGTTCTGGAGAAGAAGATGAAAATGTGAAAAGTTTACGACGACGACAACAACAACGACAGACAACGAACAAATTCCGATCAGAAAAGCTCACCTGAGCCTTCGGTTCAGGTGAGCTAATAAAAATACTTAAGCTCGGGCTTTCAAATTTCAATAATGTATATTCCTTGTGGCAACACCTTGTCTTAAGTCCCGATATTACTTTTACCTCTTGACCTTGGGCTTAGAGTTTCACCTACTTTGGAAAACCTTTAACTTGACCATTATTTCATTATTTTGCTGAAAGTGCTTTCACATTTCACAAGTGTACCATGATAAAAAAACTTTCTTTGGGTAACAACTTATTTTTTTTTTTTTTTTGGCCTTGATCTTTGAGATTGACTTCCCGTTGAGAAACTTAACCATGAGTTGCCTTATGGTGGCATCAGTGTTTCACAAACTCATCATCTATATTCCAACAATGTCTGGAATGTCCATCCATCTGTAGAATATTACCTCACTCCCTTTGTACTTTGTTCAATAGTTCACTTACCTAGTATTCTAGCCAAATTATTCAATTATAAAGTAGTTTTAAAGATTACAACTGGTCCCATTTCAGACGAGACAACGGTTGCCATTTAGGTAATAAAGATATTAATAAAATATGAGATGAACGTTTCATATGGTCATAAATATTGTAGTGATCTGAGAGCGGTTGGAGGGATAAAATTATTTGGTCTAAGGCTAAGAAGTGTTACAAATCAGGCAAATGCATTAGTGAGAAAGTTAGTAAATTTCATTTCAAAATATAAAATTTAAATAAGCGAATATACCCAGCTCATTTCTCAATTTCTAAACTGGAAATTTAATCTAGATTTTGAAAGGATTTTATACATGCCAAAACCTTAAGACGTTCTTAAAAATGAGATTTCTAATTTAAATAGATATCAAAGTCGGCCCATTTAATAAAAATCAGGGGGGAAAAATTACTTACTGTAGACGTATTTTTACGCGTGTGGTCAGTTTACATTATGTATGCCGTCACAAATTTTCTGCAGAAATTTGTCACAGCGTATTTAAATTCTTTTTAAAGTATATTTGGGCATTTTTAAGAAATCCGCATTATCTTTAACTTCGGATTGAACATAAATAGTGATGTCGCTGGATTATAACCCCGTGAAAAATTACTTTTAAAATATTTAAACGTATTCAAAATTTAGCTCACCTGTTTATCCTCATTTATGTTTTGCCATATCGTGTAAAATTTTGTCAGACTTAATGGTTTTTTTCTTACTATAATAGTGAAATCATATTTTAGTACCAACAGGAATTGTTGCACTATAGATAGCGCGTTATACACTATTTATTTTTTTGTCTCTTATACAAATGCTACAGGTAAAATGTCCAAAAATTCAAATCTTGAGAGGAACTTCTAATAAGAAGTTGATATATTCAAACATGAATGAAATACCTAAGCAAATGTGCATTCATCATATTCTGAATAAACTGATAATTGTTAAATAATTGTTAAACAAGTTTAATTAAACAGTCTCAAAGCTCATAATTTCTTAATTTTTATTGTGAAAACAGTCACTTTCTTTACCATGTCATTGGATAAAATGTGTGCACGTAGTTATAGGTCTCCTGCAGGCAGTGGGAATAATGAAATGAAAACGAACAGTAATCATGCTGAATAGTCCAATGAAATAATTCAAATTGTGTGCAGAGCAACACTGACCTCTGAAAACAGAGGTGGGATCAGGTGCCATGGAGGATTAAGCATCCCCCATCGACCAGTCAAACCCGCAGTGTGCTCCTTTTGATGAGCAGGCAAACCGAAAAATATGTAGATAATTCAATGAAAAAAATAATGGCAAGGAATTTGTATGAAAGACATCAGTCAACATTCGACCATCGATTGGTTGTATTTGCAAGCAAAGAAATTGTATCGACCATAGAATTTGTGAAACGAGATTGTTGACATCCTTGTATCATCAACTCATTTCTAAATATCTTGCGTCGTTTTAGAAATTATTCTAAGTAGAGCATGATCTTGGGTACCCCATATGCAGGTAAAAATGGTATATTGCCACATAAATATGAAAAGTTGACAATACAAAAGTTGAAGTCATCACGTTATTTTAAAGTTTATTGGTTACTTTACCATCTACTTTTTCTAGTAAATCATCCAAATATGAAACAGAAATGTCGGACACTATGGTGTCTTTTATTTCGAGATCAAAGGGATATATCAAATCAACGTAGGAATGAAAATCAATATTATTATTATTTGGAAAAAAAAAACATCCTCGATATATCTAAAAGTCGAATTGAAGGCCAAAAAAATTGACTTTCTCTTTTTATATAGAAGTTTTTGAAGAAATTCTGCTTCATAAGAATACAAAAACAGGACTGTACTATTAGTATCCATGGGAATTCAAAACACATTGTTGGAAAACCTAGTTTCCTAACTAAAGCATCTTTTTAATATTAACCTTGGATTACTTGTGTGTTGAACAGGAACTTTTGTTTGCCAATTACCAATGACAATTAAGGAATGCAAACCTACGCGTTCCAAAGTAAAGAAGGTACGGTTCCAATACAATTCTGGACCAGTATTTTATTTTCAATATGTTTGTTTGTTTCGCAGCATTGTTAAGGCGTACTTCGAAGAAATCAACACAATATAAACGTGCATATTATAAATACATACCTTTTTAAAATTAATTTTAATTTTGTAAAGGTTCTATATTATCTTATGACTTTAACATTCTTTGAAATAACATTGTATACCCCGCTCTGTACTGAATTTGGTTTGGTCACGTTATTTGATAGTCACGTGATAAATGCATGTAATGTATATTGTATGTAGGTCACAAACAAATTTCAATATCGCAAGGGCATACCCTAGTTAAAATTAAAAATTAAAGTAATAGATTGTTTCTACATAACTTGTAGTTTATGGAAAGTGCTGCTGCTTTAAATAGAATTCGCATTTTTTTAGTTTAAATTTCAAGTTATCTAGCTAATGTCGAAATATGTGTGACCTTTACCAAGTATTTTATGCATTTGTAAAGTTATGCTATCGATTCCAGGAAAGCAGCAGCACTTTTCAAGTTAAGGAATATGTCCATTATGTGTATTAAAAAAATGGTCAAGATCTATTAAGTGTATGCCCTTGCGAAAAGGCGATTTAATGAGGCACCTCGGCGTGAAACATGCACACCCTGTAGACAAAAACACGGTAGAATTAATTCAATACATTCTCTCGATATTTTCTAAATAATGGCACTAAACAAACGTTTCAGATTTGTATTAATGGTCTACCTAAGATTTTCAAATAATATTCTGTTTAATAATAAAATGCATTTTTCACTGTGAAAAAATTACTTGATCCGCCTCTCACTGCACATAAAATGCGTCAAACTTTACCTTGATGACATCATGTCAACAACTGCATTGCGATCAGTGATTTGTTTATATCTTGCTGTCTGGGATTTAACTAGCGACAAAAATGAATGCAGTGGTAAGTTTTGATGTAGGTCATTACTCTTATGCAGTTTAGATTCGCAAATTATTTCATTTTCTGTTATTGTGAGGAATTGCTATATTTGTGTGATGTCACAGTAAACTTTTCCCATATAAATTAGGCCCCGCCCCCTTTATGCAGCCTTAACAGAGCTGCGTTCTATGTTGTTTAACGTCCCTCTCGAGAAATTTTCACTCATATAGAGACACCACCTCTTGCCGGTGGAGGGCTACAAATTTATATCTATATTCGGCAGTTAGGGCCATTGAGCAGAGGGATCTTTTTCATGCCAACACCTACACGGGACCTCGGTTTATACGATCTCATCCGAAGGCTGGTCTCCACGTTCCACAGTGGATTCGAACCTACGACCTAAGGATCGAGTCCCTACTACGCGACTCTAAAGCAGATGCTCTTAGCACTGCGCCACGCGGGCGACTATTTGAACTATGAAATAGTGAGAAATTAAAACACATCCATTATGAATTGTTCAAAGACCCTGCAGTAAGATCATAGAAATTAGTTCTCTTACATGTATATGGCCTCCTAAATGTTTATTATGACGTCATGAACTTGTGCATTTTATGTTCTTTAAAAATTGCAAAATAAGTGAATTTTCATTGGAATTATCTTTCAGACAACATAGACCATATGCATCACCTACAAAGATTTTTAGATATGTGATTTCTAGAAGATTTCTACACAACATACTCAGAATTGAGGTGGATGACCGCTGTGGACACTAATTTCTGAAGGCAAATAACCCCTTTAATGAGTCATTTTGATGTCTGTTTTGTTAAAACTTAGAAATAAAACAATTTATTTCCAGAACGGCATTCAGTACTTCATTTTCTTTCTTCATTTCTCATATTCATAAATTTTACACATATTTCAGCAAATTCCAGAACATTTTGAAAACATCTAAACATCAATTTTTAGGGCATAATGAAGGCAAACTCCTACTTACTACGCTAAAAACCAAATCTGCTTGACTGAATACAAGGTCAACATATTATTAGTTGTATTTGGCTCCAGTCTTTGGCACCCCCTTTTTTTATTTAAATATTTCTGATTTCCAACGTGTCGGCATGAGCATCACTGAAGAGACATGATTTGTCGAAATGCGCTATTGGTGCATCAAAATTGGTACCGTATAAGATTAACATTGTACCCTAAGACAAAGAAGCTGACCCTATCCTTCAGCTTCGGGCAACATGTACGTTTTTAGGTCCGACAAATAACATTTTGCCCTCGCACTTTATTAATAATGGTGAGTAATGTCCACTCTTACCATCGTAATCTGTGCCGCTGTCTGAGATTGGCGTTCTTCAGACCATGCATCGTCGTATTGTCCCGGAAGTCATTCCAAAGTTCCTGTATGTTTCCATCATCCGGACAGATCTTCTTTTCGTCCACATTAACCATGGGAACATCAACTATTTCCGGTTCTGGCAGCGCTTCATTCTTTTTCTCCGAGACATGAAACACATGAGGACTAATTTTCCTAACATCCTGCTTTCTTTTATTGTTCATGCTTGTAAAAGGTTGGACCAAGACAGTCTTCATTTTGATTCACTCCTTAAATAAAGTTAATTGTCAAGTAATGTGTATTTGAAATATAATGAAATATTAATGTCAGAAAAAAATCATAATGGTTGAATTATATTTCCTACAAACAGATAAGAAAAAAAATGAAACTTCTGTCACAACTAGAAAGCACGATAATAAAAGAATAATCATTACAATTTATTCCCTAAACTTATCTCATATTCTTATTTCGAATGCCATTGTATCTGTAAGTTCAAACAAATGGCAATATGCAGTTTTGTTAACAAAAATAAAAAGCATAAAAAAAAATAACTATTTTAATCATCTTTTTTCAAACATATTAGTTTTAAAATAAAGAAAATATGCACTTCTTTTTCTATGATACTTTATCTAAAAAAAATATTTTTTTATTAAATTAACTTTTTTATTTATTTCTTTATGTTTTTTTTTTTATTATTATTTTATTTATTTATATATTTATTTATTATATTATGTGTTTATTTATTTAACACTTTAGAATACTGAAATTACCTGTATTTCCATTGTATACAGAAAACTGTTTAGTTCCAAAGGATGTGAAGGTATGAAAAGATCTGCTCGAATTCCGGGATTTAAAAGCATGGCATTTTAAAGCTAACCTTTATTGATTAACGGGTTTAGCGAGAGACGAAATTAATTAATATAAACAGAGTTTGATTGTTGTTTCAAATATTTGCTTCCGACTTAATTTATTGGTTAATTATGTCAATCCTAAAGAATAAACATCTGAAATCAATCTTTAAAGGAAAATATTTTTGATGACACAATAATACCTTTTGTATATGCATTACATTAAGAGTAAAATGTTTGCTTAGTTTTAGAATTACATTTTTGATGTTGCAATAATACCTTTGTGTTTCATTAACAGTAAAAATGTTTGCTTGGTTTTGGAATTATATTTTCACTCTCCTCTCTTACAGAAAAAAAAACGATGAATTGATTGATTTGAATATAGAAATACGAGTAGGTAACAATACAAGTACAGTGCATTTGTTCTATTAATTGATTAAGGTGCATATATATACTAACAGTAAGGTATGCCGTTTAATTTTCATGCCGATTTAGAAATGCTGAATCACAATATATAAATATTACATGTAGTTGAGTGTAACATTGAAAATTTTCACCCCAAGAAAATCATTGTCAATCGAGGCGCAGCCGAGGTTGACCATGGTTTTCGAGGGGTAAAAATTTTTAATCTTACACTCAACTACATGCAATATTTATTATATTATACTGAATGTCTATACAAATAAACATAACAGTGAACTTTGCGCGCATAAATTCTGCGCAGTCACTTATTTTGGAATATCACCCGTCGTAAAGCAATGTTGACTGTTGCTACGCTGGAGGGCGTGGTTTCATCATTCAGCGGGTAATACTGTTTTTTAACAAACCTTTCTCGTCGAATCAGATTCAACTAATTTACATGAAAGTATAATATAAGCAAAATATCAATAGTTTTAAAAATTATTTGATAGTAGACTGAATTCATTAATGTGTTTATGACCTGAAACTGTGCAAAATACATTATGTATGCTACAAAATGACCCTAAAAATTTTACGTATTGTAAAATTGTATGTATTTTTCAAAATGATTATCAAATGTGTAAAGGTGCAACATTCAAATAATTATTTATTGATTATATACAAAGTATTATTTATAAAAATGTTTAATCTCATTTTATTTCCGATTTTATTTTTCATAGAATAGTATGCTTCCTAATTTGTATAATAAAGTAATGCTCACATATTTTTTTCTATGCAAGTGTAGTCACCATCATAGAATTTATAGTTACTTTGGAACTGACCTCGACATAAAACTTTAACCTGTTAAAATAAGATGGAAGATCAAGCATATGAAGCAAGTCCTAATAAGTGCATTCCTCGTTTGCTTCATAATTTTTCACATGCATAGTTACTTATTCGGATAATATCCATCTGATCCGGCATCGAAAGCAAGTCTGGTAATGTTCGGCTGAATTGCATTAACGATGATTTTGAAAACTGGTTTTCTCATTACCGAAAATTGTTTTCTTTCTCGTTTCTGAAAGAATATTATTTATCACATGTTTACCCATTTATCCCATGGATATCACTCATTGGATATTTTTTTCATATCCACAGTGTAAAACATTGATAGTAATGCATAGAACATATGATAAAGGCTCGGGGATACAAAACACACAACTCGTTGGATAAAAATCATATCCAACAACAAATCATTGGACATCCTACATGTATATATATCATACAATAAATTTTAAATGAAGCATTTCACTCTTAAGTTCAATGTCCAGTTCTATATTACCCATCTAATACCTTTCTGTTAATGAACATCACCAGATACGGACAAAAACAACACGATACGAGCATTAGACTGCAAAGCTTTAATGTGGTATTACCGTATACCGAATTGAGGTTGGAAAAAAGTTCGTCGCCACTGCATCCAGAAATATAGTGACTTTGTTTATGAAGATTGGACATAACCCCAGTATTATATTTCCACCTCAGGTTTCAAGTAGTTTATGAAAACCAATTTATGAATTTTATGTTGACAATTAAATTAAGCGTTTTAATACAGTTTAAAATCGACTGTTGATATCTATTATATTCATAAAAATTATCCATCTCAAAGTCAACTTCCAATTCCCGGTGGGCAGGTTGGAACAATACAAACTGGTTTATGGAAGAAATTTTGGAAATGCTTTACATTAATTTGCCGATTAACTAATGATATTTCGGTAAAATTTTGGTAATGGTATATAAATATTTTCATTTTTTTTTTTTTTTTGAAAAAAAAAAATAATAATTCGGTAGTGCAATATCGATTTTCAGTAAGAAAAACCCTATAGTGTTCATCCCTACATGAATTATGTGTTCAAGTTTGATCTATGTAGCATAAGCCTATCTTACAGGCAGTGATACTGAAAACCGGGGGGAAGACCTACTCATTGCTTTGCAACGAGCTTTGCTCTAGTTATTATTTTCGTTGTTTTCTTGGTATGAAAAGACCCATGAATTCAAATTCAACACTACACTTCTACAACGAAATCAGATTCCCTCGAACATACATACATTTTTCCTCAAAACACAAAAAATTGACCCCACGATAAAAAGTGATTTTACAGTAGATGTGTGTTCACTAGATACATCGTACATTGTACATGCAAGTTGGGTCATGAGACAAAGACTCTTCAGCACACATATTTTCACTTTATTTATTCATACTTATTTTCTTATTTAGGAGAGACTATTTCTATCCTAAAGCATTGGATGTATGCTGAATAAAATTATGAATTTTCATTTCATATAGCAATTTCTAAATGTAATAGCTCAATTCTTTATATGTCCGATTCTCTATGCATTTCTGTTTATACAACTAAAATACCTGCAACAAAAAAACATCCAATGTACGAAGCGAGATTTCGAAATGTGTTCTTGATACTGATTGGATCTAAACCGGAAACACATAAAACACAAACATTTAATATTTGACTCTAAATTCCTGGATAACTCTATTAAGACCTCATTTTTCACTATCAGTTGTCATATTTTAGCAGGAATCATCTTTAACGTTTTCTCTCGGAAAAATAAATGCAGTCTTTAAGAAGGCTGGGGGGTTGTGGCCATTTTCAGACTATATTGATCTCCTTTAGAAGAAGAGCTCCATATAAAGATACTAGTATATAAAAATGATAAAATTTTAAAACTAAAATTTATGATTTTTTTCTTTGCCAAACGAAAGTTGACAGCTTAAGATATCATACCTAAAAAATTAAGTTATATCTGATGGTTAATTTGTTGACCCACCAGCCTCCTTAAGAAAGGGACTTGTTTGCTTCTATACTGCATATATTTTAACCATTTTTTCGATTAATACCTGTAAATCAGTCTGTGTATTCAACTATATGTATTTTTATGAAAATAAAAGCAGCAAAACCTTTAAAAACCTTTTAAAGTAAAATTTTAATGTAGCATACATTCATCTAAAATATGAATTATGATCACTAACAACTCTCTGTACGCATCGTAGGCAAAAGCAAACTTATAAGGTCGTATATAAATAAAAAAAAATATCTATGAAAAGCTCTTACATTGGATTAAAAAAAGCGAACAAAGTATAGAAAAAAAGTATGAGAAAACACTATTACTATGAGTTTGTGAAAAATTACCGTATTTATCGCAATGAGCACATCAAGGTAGCTAATATCAATTAAAAAAATTCAGCTAAATGGAAAAAAGAGATTATATAAAAATTTCATTTAAATGTAATTATAACGTCTTTTTGAGGAAACAGTTTTTTAAATTCATTTTTTTTCTTCTGGGAAAAGGGAGGAGGCACCCATGGACACATGCACTTAAAAAGACAAGGATTTTCCCCCGCAGGATTTATCTGTAACTTTTTTAAAGATAAGTTAAAGATTAAGTGGACAATAGGGTGTTTGAACTTTCAGATTAAAATTACTGGTCGGGGCTTATAGTGCATGGGCACTTATTGAGAAAAATATGGCAATAGTTTACCTAATACACACTATTTTACGGTACAATCGCAACACAAGCAAAACTAGTAGTTAATGAGAGGGATTTATGTCCAAAAAAACTTATGTGAAAGGAGAATGTTAACCTCACAAAGTTATAATATCTTTATCAACATCAGTCAAAAGGGCTTACTGATCATGAGTGAATGATTTCATCTCCTCTTTTAATGAAATATTTTTAGGGACTACGTATATATGACTACATTAATGTATAATAAAAAGCAACTGGACTACATAAACAAAATATCTAAACTCACTATACGTAGAATATGTTCTACATAAACTTAAACACAAAAAAGTGTGTTTCAAAAGAGGCATTTACTACCTATTTCATTATAACATTTTTGTAATATTGGCAAAAACATAAACGTGATTATTCAGGAATTTAATGCAATTCGATCTCTAAAAATAGTCATGAAGGTCTTCTACTAAAAAATGATAGAAGGTGGAAAACATTGATTGTATCTAATAAAATTCTATCTATAAGTAAGGTGTAATAAAGGAATGTGTCTGATTTGTAACTGAAATAAATCTATAATACCTGTAAACAAAAAAGCATCATATTCTCAGTCATGAAGAGAGTTGATGTTACACAAAACCGGTAATTCACACTCACTAACTTTCATGAGACACTCAAGAACATACAATAAACTACTATAAATCTATGGCACAAAAACACTTCAGACAATGTCTATATTGACTTCAAAATGTGGCTTGAATACAAAAAAGGCCTTTCATTATTGGATTTTTTAAAAAAAATTTCTTTCAAGAATAATACTCACTGATGATGAAAATCAATCAAATGTCTCAATATGAATTTTTGTGTGTATGGGCAACAACACAAAATCAATCTCCATTGGCTCCGATGGTTTGTTAAAATTATACAGAGAATAGTTAATTGATATTTGAAGGTTTGAAAAAATCTTCAAAACAGCACAGAACAAGCATTTTAAACACCAAAAGAAAGTCATAAATAACATACACAAAAAGAGGTCATTACATGACAGAAATAGTCAAAGCCCTCCTTATAGGAAAATGTATGACTGATAAATTATTTGCTTTTTTAATGCAGTATTTCAATTCCATATAAACAACAGAGACTTAAGACATGCAATGAATTCTGAATGACTAGAAAAAAGAAAATGACTAGCAAAAAATCATATGTTAACATCATATATTTAAGTTAACAGATAATAAGATTCAGTCAGAATGGTTTTGTTACTGCCAACATCTAACATATTTGTATACTGTAATATTCATTAAACTGAAATACTTTTTGGGAACAAGCTTACTACATTGCCGCAAAACAATGGACTAAATTACTGGCATTTGATACATTTAAATAATATTCTAAATGATGATGTTTTGATACAAATTTGCTGCCCAAACAGTTTTCTCTTGAAAGTTCTTAATGAAGGCTTCCGTAATTACGGAATATAAATAACTGGCGACAACCAAAAAATTATCTGGCAGCAGCCAAAAATTATATGGCAGCCGCCAGATCTTTTTATTTGGTGGCCGCCAGATAACTTTCTGGTGGCCTTCAGAAATTATATGGTGGCCACCAGATAACTAATCTGGCGGCTGCCAGATAAAATATTTTTTTTCTGCCTGGCACCTACCGTAATAATCTAATGCTAGTGTTCAACATTTAAAATATAATGAAGTTGTTTTCAAAAATAAGACACAATTATTTCCAAATAATAAATGTAGAAGAGACAAATAACAAGCAGCTTCGCTCCAGAAAATTTAAATGCAAAGACAAATCCTAGAAAAATAAATATTATGCTGATGTACAAACAATAATACATATATTTTCTAATGTATTTAAGTTTAAAAAATTCAATAAAAAGATGTCCAACATGTCCAATCACAACCTCCCAAATATATAAAATCTTTGTATATTTGCACTTATACAAATTCAATTTTAAAAAGCAATTCATAAAATACTGAGAAAATGTCAAAATATGAGTATTCTAGCTTGTTTCAGTGGTTACACCAAATCTATATCATTTGACATTTTTCTATACAAAATCTCAGAGCATTTGTTTTAAACAAATAAATATACTAATACTCCAAGCACAGAAAAATCCATAGACAAATAATCACAGTAGAAAATAAGAAAGCAAACAAACACTTCACTTTTTATATCTATAAGTTCAAATTCATTAAGTAGTTTTGTTTAGTTGCAAAATATGACCCCATTTTACACGGGTGTTTGCTAAGAACATGCTTACTGTTAATATGTTGGTACAATATAACTGCTGTATCAAGGCTCAACAGAAAAATGTATGTTCTGAATTAGCCTGTAGTACAGGAAAATTATAAATTCTTATGAATTTTAAACCTGTCTTGACACAGGAAAAAAAGCTCCATTAAGCTTGTAATTAACCATTGAATGTATTCTATGTACAATGTAAACCAGACTTTTGTGCCATTAACTTTTCAAAGTTTGAAGAAATTGTCAATATTTATGTATCAGTAAAAAATGTATGACATTTGCATGTGTTCAACTGGAAAATTTGTTGCAATGTTTGAAAAATAGCAAACTTATCTGACAACAATTGCAAATAGAAATTTCACAGTATAACTCTGTTGTAATTAAATAATTTATGGATTAACATTTTGAATGATAAGCAATGAAAAATGACTTGGTGAGATTCTGAAACTGAACATGTACCAAAACAAAGTTTATTACAGTTGACTATCATAGCAAGACAGTAAATATGTTGGTCATTTAGCTAGGATATGTTAAAGTAAGGGGGTTGTCCTGGCCATTAATTCAACATCCATACTTAGGACACTTGGATAAGTGAAAGATTTTTCTAAGTTGTGCTTAGTTCAGTATGGCATTGCATGAATTTCTATGAAACTTTTATAAAAAATGATTTCAGTTTTACTAAGTATACCATCTGACATCTCAAGACACTTGTTCTAATGTGCTCCCACTTTTACAAATGCATGGCTCCATCATAAAGAATATTATCACTCTGATGAATATCATACAGAACAGCTGAACAACCAGATCATCTATTGAACAACTGACGAACCAGAGCACACACTGGTGGAATTCAAATTTTCAGGTGTTTAAATATGTAATGCAATTATGCATAAGGCCAAATAAAAAAATATGTGTGGTTCCAGTTACCCGACCATCCCTATTTTATACCCCCAACCCTAAACTTTTTTTTGACAATTTTCAAATTTCCAGAATTTTCCCTGATTTCCCTCATTGGCTCCGGTATTAATTTTAGTTTCAGCAATGGTGGCCTTCTTTGACAACATCGTTTCAACACGCAGTATAAGTGTTTTGTCAGTTACAAATATCACCACTTGAAAGAAAGCAATAGTATTATCTCACCAATAGTTAATTCAAGAACATTCAATGATATTTTCGACGTTTATTATATTCAAAAAAAAAAAAAAAAAAAAAACCTACCTACCTACCCTAATTTGTTTGGAGGTGTAACCAGAACCACACATATTTCTTTATTTAGCCTAACACCTCTTTAAAACATAATACTTAATAAATAGAACACTGCTGTATATCACTTTTTATTCAAGAAAACTTAATTTGAATGTAACTTTGCTTAACTGTCTACTCAGGAAAATTTTATTCTCATATATTTTTGTATTATTTTAAATATACCACAATAAAGAAAGTCTGTGAAAAAAAATTTTCACTTATAAAAACCAAATAAATCTCTAGATAAAGGTTGTTACAAAAATTTGTATTTTAATACAAGTGGTCTTATATAAAAAAAATTATTAAATTAGTTAAAGTTATTGCATCATTATATCTAGATATTTATCCAAATATTCATGAAAATTAAATAATTTTAACTGATGGAGCCAGAACTTTGTAAGAGTGGGAGCAAATTAAAAATCTTTGGTGGCAAAACTAAAACTGGAAATGAACAAAACTACATAAATAGTCCTCTACAGTTTTTCTTTACATGAGTTCCTAGGGAAGAGAGCTGCGTGAATTTACTCCCACAGTGTTGACATTGGTAAGGTTTACTGTGTGTGTGCGTTCTTTGGTGGGCCTTCAGATAGAACATACAACTAAAACGTTTGTCACATTCACTGCAGCTAAATGGCTTTTCTCCTGTATGCTTTCGTATATGGACCTGAAATGAAGCATTTCACTCTTAATTTCTAATGGATGGACAAAAAAAATAGCCTTATTGTTCTGGAGATTTTTTTCCAACAGGTACATCACATGCATTATGTAAAATTTGCAACAATGATAAAGAAATAAAACACTACATGTAACCAAGGACAACAATAAAAAAAAGATTTTTTCTACATACTCTGACCAACCCGTCTACGTTGCCCTCACAAGATCATTTTTTCAATACTTTAAATTTTATCTTTTTTTTTAAGTAAAGTTAAGCCTATCTTTTCCATATTCTAAAGAAAGAATCAATTTATCTCAAGAATTAATCTCCAAAAAGATACATCATCAACAAAAATATTTACAAAAGTTAAAAATATTTACCTTCAGAGCTCCATTTTGAGAGAAACCTTTGTTGCAATAACTACACATAAATGGTTTTATCCCCATGTGTGATGGAAGATGAAGATTCAGTCCCTGTTTTGTTAGATATTCTTTTCCACACATATTGCAGCGGTACCTCTTTCTCTCCTCTTTATTTCCATTTTCCATCTCTACAACATATAAAACAAAATATTAATCAAATATCCATTATACAAATAACATATGTGTATGAATTCAGGAATATTCAAAACACATAGAAATATATTCTAGTTCTAAGTAATCAAATGGCATAAGGCTAAAAAATATAATCCATACTTAAATGAAACTCTTGACCAGGCTCAAGAAAATGGTTGTTTTTGATTCCTTGGTTGACGGAATGATCAAAATAGTTGAGCATTGAATTCTTATTTTTGGATGTCATCTGTCCTATACAGCACCTGGCCATGCCAACAAATAGCATTCTCTAATTTTCTCTCTTCATAATTGTTAATTTCATTAATCTTTATTATGAATTTAGTGCCTTTCAAAGGTGGTATGCTTAATAAATGTAAGAGCCATTGTGACATGGAAAGTTAAATAATCCAAATGAATATTGCCAGGGAAATAATAACAAATTTATTTTAAACATACAATTGTAATACTTTTACAGTAATTTAATAGGGTATTTTTTTTAAATCAAATTGAGCCAAAACAATATACATTTTGGTGTTCCTATAGTATTGAAAATACATATATTTCCTACTGTGCATTCTACCTCACAGTGACAAGATTTCATGTGTTTTACAGAGTATTGAATGTTGTAGTATTCCAATGGATTTAATAAAGAAAATTAAACTGTATGTAAATATTTAAGAAATAAGGTATCATTTTTAAACATCTGTCGGGATATAAATACGGGTTGGTTATGAGATCAAATACCATGAAGCCCGAAGGGCGTGAAATGTAACCTCAACAGCATGAGTTTGATCTACTGATTGCACATAGGCCATTTATGATGTCACTGAGAAATTATGTCGAACATTTATGACGTGAGGAACCTGTGTTTATATGGATATATATACACGTTGCTTTCAATAGTGTTATATAAGAGAAAACATTTGGAAATGTAAATATAAAGTAATAAACACTATTGACTGGTGCAACAAGAGTTTGAGAAAGAGAAAGGTAACTTGATAAATGAAAGGACAGAAATGCTGTTCTTGTTAGTATAGATGACAATTTTGTCAAATACTTGAACGACACCGCTCAAAAAGTTCCATGTTAAATTTCCATTTTTTTTTCTTTCAAAGAACCAAGTAATGTCTATAATTTATCATTGTTCTTCGTTCTACTACTATTTCCTATAGAAATGAACCATAGTAAGAAGTATTGAAGCAGATTATTGCTGGAACGCTTCAGCATCGGAGGTTTAACCGAATAGCTTATTGCTATGAAATATCAAAAACTTTATATTTTGATGGATTTAAACCTTTCAGAGGTAAGAAACGAAAGTTTTATGGTGATAGGGAATTAAAAGGATGTCCAAAGCAAAAAGTTGAAGTGGACAGCTAATTCATTTCAGCCCATATAAATCGAAACAAGCGGTCGAAGTACTGGCACGAAACCCCGAATGAGATTACGTGACACTGGTCTGCGATCCATAGCGACACCAGACCAAAATTTTTAGTCTCTACGGATCTCGCTGATATTATAGAACATGTAGAATAATGTAACACAGAATATGAATCTTTTTGAAGACCAAAATGTTGGTCACCAACTCCAACCCCTTATTTTTTATTTATAATCTAGCCAAAGTAAAAAAAAAAAACAGACATGACAGGGCTCGACATTAATGCTTGTCCGCTTGTCCGGTACCAGTGAAAATAAATACGGACAAGTGAATATTGCTGGGCACTTGTCCGATTGGACAAGTGCATTTTAATGTAAAGAAGTCTTCAAATAATAAAAAGAACGACTGTTGAAAGTTCATTAGTAAAAGAAGGAAGCGGTACATAAAAAATGAACTTCGATCCTGATATGGATCGCTATGTAATTGAGTTCACACTCGATCAGGATTGAAGTTCATTAATTGCATTCTACTACAAAGGCGAGTTACGAAGTCTAGATTCTGTTTGATGTTGACAGTTTCATTTGTGAACATTTATGTTGTTGTCAGGATAGAAAGTCTAGATAAAATTTTGTTTTTAGGTGTTTGTTGTATTTATCAATAACATCACGAATCAATCACATGTAATGGACTTTATCTTAGTTTTCAAATTGACAGTATTGTATCTTTATTGAACAATTTTCGGACAAGTGAAGTTGAAGTTCGGACAAGTAAATGTCTTGGTCACTTGTCCGAATGGACAAGTAGGGAAAAAAGTTAATGTCGAGCCCTGCATGAAATGGTTAGCAGAATCTTCCTTCTTCAACCTCATATGTACTTTCTTACTTTACCTGCGGGAACCTGGATACTGAAGGATTAGGATTGTGACCTATATTTTGGTCTAGAAAATGGATACTTTGTGTTATTATATAAGTATTAAACTAGCATACTGTATGAAACAAGCGCCTGTGGATGAGAGTTGTCAGTATTTCATATTCGACTTCCTGACACCGTATGAAGAATGGGGTATTAAACAAATAGAAGATATCGTAGTCATATACTTACTGCAACTGTATATTTTTTTTTTCAAATGCAATGAAAATAGGAATTACAAGTAATGTAAAAAATGTAGCAATGATAATAATTCCGCCAAATCAAGCCAAATTCTTAAAACTGGAAATGCGAGGAGCCCTGTAAATAATAAAAAAAAATTAGAACGGCTTAAAAAATCCCGGAGGAAGTTGCTCGATTTACATGTACCACGTACTCAGCCTGTAGTGATTGTTACTATAAAAATATGTGTGAGCTGGGTGAGGTTAGAATGCTTTTATATATTTTTCCTGTAGGTAAAATTATTTTTCAGTACATCACACTTTTGGGGGTGGGGGCAATCTCCTATGCAGAGTTGTCGTTCGTTCCTTTTTCAGACATGTATGCGCCGATGGTAGAGAGTGGGTGGGTGGGGGTGAAAAACGGGGGAAGGGGGTGACTTAAATACAAGTTAAAATCACTATTATTCAGAGGCTTTAAGGGAGTTTCACCCTGGACCCACAGGGGGTCTCATGGCGGCCCCTGACCCCCTGCCTCTGAAAAACAAAACAGGTGCTTGAGAACAGTATCCCTAGCCCCACTGCCATCCCCCCGATATACCCCCGGGCAGTTTCAACTTTTTTTCTCAAAAAATATCTTTCAATGTCATATTTGTGATAAAAACCATCAATTCAAAAAATTACCTAAACACATTTTATAAAAATGTCTACAAAATGTTAGTTTTAGATAATTTTTCAAATTGATGGTATGGAATAATTCACAAATATGACACTGAAAGATAATTTATGAGGAAAAAGTAGAAAGGGCCCGGGGGTCAATATCGGGGGGGGGGGGGTCCTTTTCTTAACAAAATGACTCTATGCTAACTTGGTACGAACTTATTCCCTATATATAGATCAATTAATATTGAAAAGATTCTTTAAAGGTCCCTAATATATTATCACGTCGGGGCATCAATGTCACTGCGATATTTTTTTCATAAATCGAGAAAATTTACCGAAATCCCAATGATATTGCTTTTTTGTTATTCTGCTAACATAATCATGAATATGTGACGAAATTACGAAAAATGTTACGAAACGAAAAAGTTACTCTGTGAAAATATCACAAGGATTCTACTAGTTGTATTGCTGAAAATGTTTCGCCAAAAAAATGCGTGCAACATATTGGGATGACACAGAATTAAACGTAGAATTAATTCTAAGTAGAAAAAACAATGAATAAAACGAATTTCTCTCTCTCTCTCTCTCTCTCTCTCTCTCTCTCTCTCTCTCTCTCTCTCTCGTGTGTGTATGTGGTTTTCATTTTGAAATATAAAATTGTACCCAAAATTTTATCATTTATATTGTGTAAAAATACATAAGCCCTTTATATGCATATGATCCTATTGATCTATGATTGAATTCGTTTCTATAACCACAAAACTCAATGCTAATTAGTGCTTGTCACTGATAATCGCTCCCATCAATTTAATTGACAGGCTGATCTTTATGAAATATGCAACAGCACATATCATACTTGTATCTACGTAACAAATATTTTAATAAGAAATAATAAATCACTATTCAATTCTAACCCATTTATTGATCATTAGTCATCGATAAATATGACTGGCTTTGATATTAATTAAAAAAATAGATTTGTGCCCCTTTTCACCTCTATACGAAATCTACATATTATTATAAAAACAGCCCATTTATTCAATGTAGTTTCACTTGGTGTAAGCTGTCCCAACAGACAAAGTAAGTATATAAACTTTATATATATACAATCTGGTTTAATGTAGGGATGTCAACGAATAATCGACTGTCAGTCGAATGGACCGACGATCGAATAATGAAACGACATTCGAATATAAAAGAAATGCAAGAAAAGGGGGTGATAAAGAGAAGGAATTCTCGTCTTAAAATTGAAAAAGCGTCCTTCCTTAAACTATATAATATACGTCCTCAGACGATTTAGAGCTCAAACGCAATCACAGTTGATAAATATTTTTCCACAACAAAATCTGTTGACTTTCAATGTACATATGGAAAGTACCGTAATGACAAATGCTTCACTACAGCGATAATTATTTCTCAATTACTGTCCTTTTAGTTTTTGTAATGAATTATGCAACTTGTTTGTAAAACTATTAATTGAACTTGATCTCAAACCATTGTACCAATTATATGTTAATACCTCTAAGAATGTTCCAACGCTGGGAACACACCATAGCCGTGAAGTTTGGAAACTTCGATAATTATTAAAACAATATACATTATAAGGAAAGTTTGATAGCTGGGGCAACCATTAATTGAACAAACAGTATTTAACAATATCACCTGACGTGTGGATAGTGTATGTTTACCCATCCCTCTTCCCCAATTTATTCTATAAGCTTTAAAAATACCATGCTTACAATTCTCTAAGCTTACTAGAATAAAAACTGACTGTACAGACCAATTTATGAATGTGATTTACGGAAAATCATCATATGCATGATCATACATTTTGGAGAATTGCCAGACGGGTGTATATCTATTTCGATCATTTCAAAATCGTATCCCTACGTTAGGTGCCTCTGAATATCTATGCGTAATATAGACATTTCTGATGTTACTTTTATATAAATTTAAGTAAAAGGGTTTTTGAGTCATAAATACGCTATATACCATTGAGATTGTATTTTCAGAAAATATTCCGAATAGTCGACTATCGTTCGAACAATGCAATCGAATGTTCGAGTGAGGAAAATAAATATTTTGACATCCCTAGTTTAATGTTTATTTTGCACATACATAAACATGTACAAATGTAGGAACTTTATTTGTAAAATAAAAAAGAACTTTTTCTTGCTAGCTATAGAAAAGGTAAAGCACTTGTTAATACGCTTTTTAAAACGAATAATTTCATTTTTCCTTTTAATAATATAAATTGGGGAAAACCCTACGTACATTTTATAGCTACATTGTTTTATTATTTGATTGTTCGCTGCTTAACGTCCCTTACGAGTTTAATTCACTCAAATGAGACGCCGACGTTTGCTGGTGAAGGGATTCGAATTTAGACATTTGCCCTGGGACTTAGGGCCATTGAACAGTGAGGGACCGTTATCATGACAACGCCTACCGTGACAGGACTACGGTTTTTAAGAACCCGACATTCACTTCAAAAGTACCAGGGCATAAAGTTTGATTTTCAGAAAAGGCCTTTGGATCGTTTTAATTCGATTGACAAAACTGGAGTTATAAAAACTGCCCCCCCCCCCCAAGTTTTGTCAGCTTATTTAAAGCGATACAAAGGCCTGTGATTTAGTCAAACCTTGCCATCTAGATCTCAATTGGTCACGAGTAAAAAAGTAACCTATGTAGCAACCGCTAACGATAATTAAATAAAACACCGCTTAATGATAGAAATACCATTAAGCGTTGCAATTGCCAAGCTTAATGTCATAAATTATTGCATAAATAGTAGACATTCTCAACCGCTAATGCTAAATCGACGCTTAATGAAAGAATTATATCATTAAGCGTTTGAGAATGTTACGTATTAATGCACTAATTTATGACATTATGATATTCATATCATTTAGCGGCGTTTTATCATTAGCGGTTGCTACAAACCTAGGATTCGAGATAATTGTAATTGAAAAGAAAAGGATTGAGACTTCAAACTCACTCAAACATATTCATGGTATTCTAGATTCTAGAAGTTTAATTGTATATTTTATACTTCTTCCATAGATGAGGACACAGCCGATCGTCTGTCTTATTTTCTGTCTCCTGTTGGTAACCCCAGTGACGTCACAAGGTGGGAGGCTTTTAGGTGGATTACTTGGAGGAGCACTCGGGCACCAGGTATTTTTGTTCTAATTGTTGTTGTTGTTGTTGTTTTTTTTTTTTTTTTTTTTTTTTTTGTTTGTTTGTTTGTTTGTTTGTTTTTTTTTTTCGTTTTTGTTTTTTGTTTTTTACCCCAACGGAACTTGGATACACCTTTGAAAATACATTTTATGTTCCAAAGATCGAAGGGGGGGGGGGGGTGAGTATCTGCTTACGGACAAAAACTTTTTATGCGAACACCTTCTTTTACTTGTCCAGCTGCCTTTTTGTCTATTTAAAGTAAGAATCGCAGAGACTATAAACTCCACAGTCGAAGGCCTTGTCAAAATTGTTAAAGAAAATCATGTCTCATTCATTATTTTGAAATGGAAAAAAAAAAGCTTTAGTAGCTGAAACAAAACTCCTTTATATGACTGTGTCCGCATTTAATTTGGGCAAGGTCAGGTTCACGGAAACAGGACTCGGAAGTCAAGGAATTATGTATGTCCGTGATATTGGAAATGAAAATACACGTAGTCAAGCTGTGTTTGTTTTGGAAAGAATAAAAAGGACTGAAGTATATTTGATGACCCTGAGTAAAAGTCTCATGCGTGGTTTGGGATACCTACTGGAATCGGAGCGTAGTAATTTCTGTGCCAATGAAATATAAGGTTTCCCTGTAGTTAAACATATTGAGAAAATTCTTATTTCATCATTTTATTCTTGAGTAAGTGTTAGCACACGATCCTCCTCTCAATGAAATATTTTTTTACTGTATATATGATTATGACAATTTTCTTGTAGGAAAAAAAGAAATTCAGTCATGTATAAGGTATATCATATGGAACAGCGTGAAAAACATGGTTGAACATTTAAAAAAGGGAAGCAATGATTATCTACTACATAGTAAACTCTATTAGAAGCGGGACATTCAAAAACCTTAACCGCGCCTCACCATTGTTCGGTCTCGGAACTCTACCAGATTTTGAATCTGGCGTAGCACTGCTAATAGGTCATTGATTGTGGAGATTGAACAATTTATAACTTATTGCGAAATAAAACAGAATGTAGACAATGTCCTATAGTTAGCCCTTAGTAAAATTCCTTTTTGTATTCTATAAAAAACGTTTTCCTCTCCATCAGATAGAAAAGTGCTATATACAGTTACACTTCTGTTGCCCCTTCTCAAAATTTAAAAAACAAAACAAAACAACAAACCTGTTTTTGTATTGCAAATGAATGTTTGAAATTATTTTTAAAATATTCAGTTCAATGACTGTGTTTAATATAACGGTTGTTTATGTACTCCGAATTATTTAATTGCTCATGTAAATTATAATTATGCGTAAATTGTGTGCATTATGTAAATATACGGGTACAGAAAGACGACAACATATATAAGAATAAATTTCTTTCATAACGAAGTCATTAAAATATACCAACTGTGTATTTCTCTTTCTTGCTTTTTTTCTTCTTCAGGTTTATAAACTGCATACAGGGAAATTAATTTTTCTTCCTTTTACCCTCTTCGAAAGGGGGGGGGGCGAATTAAAAATTGGGCGAGTTTAAAAAACGAAGGAAACAGTGTAACAATTTCTCTTTCAAACGCAACAGTGTTTTTGCGAATTTAAAACGTGTCAAAATCCTTTGCAAGTGGGCGTGATAGCTTGACAATAACAGGTGTGAAAAAAATCATCCTATTTAAAGTGTTTGTTTTGTTATTTTATTATGGTTTTGAGAGTATAATTTACTGTAGACTCGTAGTTTTGTAATTAGTCAAAATTTAATGTATTTATTTCAGTTGACCGGTGGTCATCCTTTGGGTGCTGTGATGGGCGGAGTCCTTGGTTCCAGTTTATTTGGAAGAGGTCGCGGTAGGTGGGGACGAGGTGGATGGAGGGGCCGAGACAGATGGGATAGGTGGGATAGATGGGGTGGATGGGGGCGTGGTCGACGAGGGCGCGGAGGATGGCGCGGGCGTGGGCGTGGCCGCGGAGGCAGAAGAGACTGGGATTGATGAATGTGAAATAATACTGAAGTCTGAAATCAAGGAAATGGTGTGCGATTGTTGATTAATTATTAAAGAATAAAAGATCTTTAAGAATTATTCTTCTTGACCTTGCCAAATATATTTGCTGCAATTACAGCATTCCATACATATTTTACACAAAGACGTTTTATCGCTTAGAATGCTTTTTCATTTTTAAGATCTATACACTATGCTGTCTTGTCGTTTCTGTGGCCGAAGACTTCATAATATCATGTTGTAAATTTTGAATTTACTAGGGGGAGGTAAATGCAAAATTTACAACATGATAACTAGTTATCATGTTGTAAATTTTGCATTTACCTCCCACTAGTAAATTCAAAATTTACAACATGATAATGATAATACGATGGTTATCCATTTGGGAAAGATGTCCAATTTTTACGTCTTTTTTGTTTTATTTTCCTTGCAGGGGTAAGAAGTGGTACATGTGTATTATATATTTTCTACTATCTATTTTTTTTTTAATGAAACCCTAGATTATTCGGAATTGTTATTACAACTGTAATTCACACTAAGGAGAACATGGCCCCGGCCCCGACCCCACCCCACCCCTTTAATTATTTTTCTCTTCTTCTGATTTTTTGAGTCATTTTATTTGCAAAGGACTTTTCACAATATCTCAAGAATAAGGCATGAAATTTTGATGAACACGATGATCAAGCCCTATGCTATTGTTTCCTTCATTTAAATGTCTATCAATGCACATGTACATTAGACTTGACAATTTTTTTTTCATTTTCTTTCAAATGAAACAGAATTTAAAAATAAATAAATAAATTAGATCCTGCATGGCTGTAGCGTCAGCATTTTTTTTTTAAATTTAAATAATACCTTTATGTTTAACTACAGTTCTGTAGCTCACAGGTCTAAAAGAAAATATAGGATAGACGACTAAATGATCGTCCTTACGATTTTTGAAGACCATTGAGCTACAGACCTGTAGCAATTAAGTACCTCATTCTTCGCGAATTCGTAGTAAACAAAATCATATTAAAGATATAAAAAAAGGTTAATGAACCAATATCATCAAATACCCGGTATACGAGGGTTGTCCGGTAAAATCGTGGAAAAGTTGTCTAGATTTAAAAATAATCACCACTGCGTTCTTAAATTTTCCCTACTCTTTACTACATTTTTCATCAATATACATAGCAAATTTCAATTACTAGATATATCCATAAATAAACAAATTATGAGATTTTATGTTATGTGTGGCATCGTCTTACGGCGCACGAATGATAACGTCAGTGTCTAAAGCAGCGTCACGTTTCCTCTTTGCTAAAAAAAAGTTGGATAAGCCTCACTTAAATTCGGGGATTTCATTGATGCACATACTTGAGTTTCCCTTTATTCCTCCACAAACAGTCGAGGAACCAATCTCGCACACACATGTGACCTTCTGAAGATTCATTGGTAGGTTAATTATGGACAGTACTCTCACTATCATTCAACTACAAAGGCAATCTTATATCGACGGTCTACAGTAACAGCGTCTTTCGCTATTGCCAGTAGCTGTTTGTCCGTATGTTTTGTTCTACCCGGGGACTCGATTAAAAAGATTTCGCTTAGAAAACTCCCATTTAACATGTATACTAAAGTTCTAGTGATTTTTACATTTTTTTTTTCTTCTGTAGTCATTCAAAGTCTCTAAGGGCGTCATTACTACATCTAAATCAAACTAAGCAGCTCTCCGGTGCGCCGTAACGTCATCAAACGTTGCCATTTTTCGTGTGTTTCGTTTACCACTTTCCAATTTCAAATGCTCAGGAAACTGCCAAAAATTAAGCAAATGCCTTGAAATTTTCCAAAAGACGACATAATAGATAGTGGATTAAACATAGGATAATTTTTACCCCAATCTTATCTATTTAATATAGGGATGTCAATTTTGTCAATAATTCATATTCGAATATTCAATGAAAGTATTCGAAAATATTCGAATATTCGATAAGATAAATAAAATTTGGTTTATTTAAAATATGCATCATCCTACTCTCATAATAGGTTTTGCATAGGCATTCTTATATTGAAAGTAAAATTGTATGAAGACTTTTGTAGTTGTACAATAAGGAATTTCATTTGATATTTGTCAACGTTCGAACTAAATAATTGATTTAAATGTAGAAAAGTATAATTTTAACAAATGATACAAGTGTATTTATAGTAGCTCCAACTGAGGAACCAGTCATCTTATAGCAAAGGCAAGATAGTCGTATACTGTTCAGATTTCAATACGTGTAATTAATAAGAATTATAAGCCTAGTAAGAGATATGATTATAATCTTTGATACAATGTTTTTAAAATATAAACAAATATTTCCATAGACAACTTTCCTAGGTGATTAACTTATTTCCCGATAATGAATACAAAATTCAGGATTATGTATAACCATAGGTATTGAAGTAATTTACAAATTCATTATGAAATTGAGACCCTTAACAATATTAACTAGTTCTAATTGCAACAGAGACCGTTACAAATGTTCCCCAAACGCTCCCCAACTCCCTTTTGGTGCTTCGTTCTCTGTATACTGTATTCAATTTTGATAATAAGTTAATGTAGGAAACAATTCCACCTATATGTATTCTGAATTTCATCCTTATTTGTTAAAAAGTAAGGAAGTTATAGTCATTTTACGTTTCAGAAAGTCAAACTGCAGCACCCATTCATGCGCAAGTTTTCAAGAAATTCCGTATATAACATGTTGTAGAACCTTATAATATATACAAATATTTTAAATTTCAAAGTAATTTGTCAAAAAAAAGTGAGTTATTGAGATTTTTGATTCAGCCAATGATAGCAAAGCGCACGTGCATGCACGTGAGTTCTTGCTAAGTTACCATATAACCTTGTCTAGAATACTTTTATATTCTTATATTCTGAGCTTCAATGCAATTAATCAAATAATATAAATGTAACGCCTATATCAAGTATATTGGTCATTTCACTTATTGCACACGCGCGCACAGGCATGCATGCACATGATGACCATATCATCCTGTCTAAACTATTAATATATTTTCATATTCTTAGTTTCAAAGCAATTCATCAAAAATGTAACATCTGTATCAAGTAAATGTCATTCCACTTATTGCACGCACACACACGCGAACGCTCATGCATGCATGTGTGCGCTGATCATGTCATCTTGTCTGCACTATTAATATATCTTTATTAATATATCTTTATATTCTGAGTTTCAAAGCAATTCATCAAAAAATATAAAAGTTAAACCTATATCAAGAACATCGGTAGTTTATATTCTGAGTATCAAAGTATTTCATCAAAAGATATGAAAATCATGGCTATATCAAGTATATTGGTCATTTTACTCATTGCACGCGCCTGCATGCATGTGTTCGCTGACTATGTCATCTTGTCTACACTTCTAATATATCTTTATATTCTGAGTTTCAAAGCAATTAATTAAAAAATGTGCAAGTTAGGTCTATATCAATTGTATTGGTTATTTCAATCATTGCGCATGCGCGCATGTTCTTGCATGTTCATTCTGACCATGTCATCTTGTCTACACTATTTATTTACCCTAATATTCTGAATATCAAAATACTTCTTCAAAAGATATGAAAGTAATGGATATATCAAGTATATTGGTCATTTTACTCATTACACGCGCATGCACGTGCATGCAAAATTCCGCAAATCTACATAACATTCCTATTAACCCTAAAAAGGTTTCATGTCAATCGGATGTGTAGTCTCCGAGATCACTCACGGACAAAAAAGTACCCAGGAAGAAAAATAATAACAGTAAGAAACGGAGTCAAAACAATATGTTCCCAAACTTCGTTCGGGGAACATAATTAAAGGCTAATTCTATCGGACATTTATTCAATGATCAATTAAATCTATTCTGACGCGTATACATGTACTCGTTACGTCTATTAGACATCCTAAGAAGGTTTTCATTTTGTTGTCCTCATTCTAGATCCGATCGTATTTAATAGCCATTCTCTGTAAGCATTTAAACTCTTATATAGGGAGTGTGGCACGCTAGGTCTTGGATTTTTATGAAACTTGGCACACATTCCTATAATGATGTATGAAACTAAAATTCATAATAAAATGGTTGCTATGGTCAATGGTTACCATGGCAACCAACATACATTTTTCATGGCCTAAAAAATGCTAAATTTTGATGAAAAATGACCATTTTTGACTAATTAAAAGTCTTTAATACAACAAGATATTTACATGACTTTATCTTTTTGTCAAAATACATCATTTTTATAGTTCTTTAGATAATTTCTAGTATTTGAATAACTTAACCTCATAGAAAAAATATCCCCCCTATTTAAGTATGATTTTTCTAAGGAAAAATTGTAGATTTTAGGCTCTTTTGAAAAGCCTGGTATAAATTTTTGCGGACATACTGGAAAAAATAAATACATTAGTTTGAAAGTCCATATATAGTTGTAATATAAACTGCAAAGAACCACTTGGTATTCATATCTTGTTTTCATGTTACCATGGTTACAAACTAATGCTTTTTTTAAGAATTCCAGACAAGGGCAATAGGTATCTACTATCAGTTTCCATATAAATACCTGAGTATTTTAAAATGGATTAAAACCAAATTTGTACATGTAGTACACAATAGCAAAAACAAAGAAAAAAATCGATTTTCATAACAAAAGGTCAAAGGTCAAGGTCAAAATGGCTCGATTTAGATGGAAAAGTAAGGAAACTAAGCACATTTTTTCAATGCCATAACTAATACTTGTGTTTTAAACAACATAATTATGAATAAACAAAATTACAGTTCTGGTTGACAATACATGTAACTAGCATCACATGAATTGGTAAATACGGACAGAAGGTCAAAGTTCAAGGACACAATGGTATATAAAATTTGCCTTTTTGTCCCCTGCTTTCACTTAAAGTGGGGGATATTTATTTAGGTCTGTCTGACGTCTATCCGTCTGTCAGTCTGTCATTCTGCAACACTTTCGTTTCTGCACGATATCTCGTGAAGCCTTGAGTCTTTGCAATGAAAGTTTATATAACAACTCCCTGTGGCCTAAGGAAGATCCCC